TTGCTCCCTAACTCCTTTAACTTACAACCTAGCGCCGCGAAGTGTCACACTGTTGCCCACTGCGGATCAAACTACTCTTCCCACACAGTCCTTTTACATATTCGTAGTCATCGCGGTCTCTCCTCAGAATGCTGTGTTAGCGCCTAACATTTTCACCATCCAAGTTCTGATAAATATTGGGGGCCAACGGATGGAAGACGTTTGATAATGGTTAAGCGTGCGGGGTGGTGACGCCACTGGCTTCAAAATGACAATTTGTCGGAGATCATGCTTTGTTCAGTGTTCATTTATTTTGATATGTCCAGTTAGGCGCCTTCTGCCCTCTTAATATTCATCCCGTCATACATTCTGGTGGTCTCAACTTTATTGGAACGTATTCTTATTAAGGTACTTCAACATGAAGAACTTGCGATGTGAGCAATTCGTCTATGAAGGACGAGGAGGCAACAACAATCAGTTTGATACCCTTAGCGATTGCGAACGCTTCTGTTCACGTAAGTTACTTCACCATAAACTATTTCTGTTCCCCACTATTCAAACATTTTCAGCTCAACCTGGGACGCAAAAATATGTCACTTCACCGACCACCACATCAGTACGTCCACCGGCTCCTGCGTCAGTTCCCGTTCCCCAACCACCCATTCCCCAACCACCACTTCGTCCAGTAGCCACCGAACCTGTGCGGGATAAACAGACCATCGAGGACATTTTGGACTACGATGAAAAGGTAAGCTATAAAAAAGGGAGCATCGTCGATGAGCTTCTAAGTAACAAATATGGTAAATTGCAGTTGACTCAATTCGTCGATGCATCGGACCCTGCCTCTTCGAACAATGTTCCTCCAAGCGGAGCTACGGGCAATTCGATCGACAACAGGGGTCCCTCCATTCTTGGGCCTGATCCTCCAGCGGAATCTGTAAGCTCTCCCGGCTCACAGCCCAAGCCACCTGCAGTACAAGCTGCCAAAACAGTCGTACACAAAGAGAGAATCCCTGAAACGTTGGTATTCAATACTGTTCTGACTTGTATCTGTAAGAGAATTTCAAGCATAGCAGAGACACTAAGAAATTTAGATCTGCTAACAAGGCGGCTGTTCCGGAGCGAAGGAAGGAGATCTACAAGGTTACTTCTTGCGCTTTCAAACTTTTAAGCCTTTCGAACTTCGGACGAACAGCTCTTTTGCACGGTATTTTCTTATGACAGCTTTTTCTTCAGGCAGAGCCTCTTCCTTCTAAACCACCTGCGACGGGTAACGAAAACCTTCCGATCGTTGGACCAAGCCCACCGATGTCTGTTAATTACCAAACTGGAGAGGTAATTTGCCTTTCAAACTCCTTCCACGTTTCTCCATACCAAGAAGGGTCATAGTATATGTTCACGAGGGGGTTATAATGTATGATTTGGCCTTGTATTCTCATTCCTCACAATGAACAAAGTGAACTTCTGAAACTGATGTTCAGACTGGAAACAAAGAAAAATGAAGAAGAAAAAGTTCTGAAAAAGAAAAAAAAACAAGGAGAGCCTTAGAAAACGCCTCAAATGGGTCCAATTGGTTTTCCGCACTGGACGGCAATGCAATGAACAGAGACGTAGACACTCCGCCAACGGTTGCGAAACATGGAACCACTGCATCCATCAAAGGGGAAGCTCGATCACAACCAGGTTTACAGCTCATGGGGATGTGCAAATATGTCGGTGTGCAGTACGACCCCCTCCTTTCGAATGGGGTCCAGGCGCGCCCCCCCCCTCTCCGGCTCCACTGTTCTTCGCGCGCCGACGCGACAAGCCGATGACTACTAGTCGGCGAAAAGTCGTCGAGAGGGAGGGTGGGGGGGCACAGGCCGTTACAAATGCATCTCAAAAAAATTAATACGACCCCCATTTCACTTAGCAAAAAATCAACGGTATCAAAATAAAACTGTACCTTCCAAAACGACCCCTTCCCCTTTCGCAGGCAAAAGTACGATTCCCCCCATGGGTTTTGACACAAATCGATTGCTGTACTCTGATCACAGCACCTCACCGCTTGCACTTCCCTCACCCTCGCACCCCCACAGTACGGTCACACGTCTACAGGCAATTGGACTACGGTTAGTGCTCCGCCCTAATCCTATATAGCAGTAAGCAAATCTTACACATGAAATCGTCTTCGGCAGCCACCATAGGCTCAAAAGGGGGGGGGGATACACCGCGAAAACATCCGCGGTTTTAAACAACGCCAGAAATAAAAGCTAAAAAATGTACTATGTTTCGGCGTGGTTTTACTGTAGCTCTGGTAGGTTCTGAAATTGTACGCCTGGTACGACGTCCCTTCTCATGTGCGGAGGAGAACAGCCCGTTGACAATGTTACACGCCTTGCGCCGACTTTGAAAGAGAAGAATGAGGCGGTAACAAGAATAGTAATGCACAGGTGTTTCGAAGACCTCCGCACCATAGGTGCAACACTTGCGTCGATAAGGAAATCCGTGACAATCACAGTGCAGAAGTTAGAAACAAGATGATAGTTCGCGGAAAAGGCGGAAGAGTGACCTCGTCCCGCTACGGTTCGAAGCGTCGCGTTGGGGTTTTGGCCTCCGCGTGCAGCACGAGGGCGGGTATGAAACGGGTATCTACCTGCCAGCTCCAGCTCGCCGTGAATTTTTTTGAGGCCCATCCACCTGCTACATAACGAGCAGGTTTCTTGATAAGTGGCACACTCTCGAGCAGTCGTCTATGAAAGCCCATCTCTCATCCTGTTACATTTTTTGTGGATAGTTACGCTGGCCTGCTGGCACTATAGGGTGCATACTCGGACGATACGCACCACGAAGCTGGTGGGCTTTGCGCATAGGTTTAAATCGTAATCCTGGCCCGTACCACGAATGCTTCGTCTTCGAAGCAATTAACGGATTTGAAGAAGAATCACATGTCGGTGACAACCACTGGTAGGATGGGTGTTAGTCAGCTATTCATGGCCTGCCTTCTACACTCCATATCCCAGATATGGAGAGTCCGGTATTTCATAGACTGTGGCGTGAGCTGCGCTTCTGCAGTGAGGTTTTGCAGTTTTAGAACAGTTGCAACCGTGAGATTGTCCCGTGAAAAATTGGACAATATTAGCATCAAATGGATATCACGCGAACAAAGCGTCCTACGCCGTGTCCAAGTGAAGTGCGTAGCCACGCCCACTTCATTGCGGAGATGTGTAGGGTATTGGACTCGTGTAAATCCACCAAATGTGGAGAAAGCAACATTTCTATAATAGAACAAAGTGAAAAAGCAACAGCATGAAAAATTTCTTGACTGTTTGTAAACTACGCAGCAAACCATGAGCATCGATGTCTTCAGGTAAAGAACAAAGCAAGCGGCATTCGCACTTTCCTGCAGTCAAATTCGAGAGCCATTATTGAGGACTCAGGTACGATTGATTTCGATAAAGCTAATTTTATTGATGACCGAACAATTTTAAGATCTTACCGAGGGCCAGGAGGATAGGAAGGACTCGTTATCGTGTCCCAATGGATTACAGGAACTTCGATATGCGGATGGACGACCTGTGATGTGCCTTCCAGGAAAGAATCAGGTAATGTCTATCACACTTACCTCAGAGAACTTGTTAAATCCGTCTCGATGTAACCCTCGAATTACAAATGCATAATCAATTTTTGCGCGTTTCGTGGGAGGGTTGATAATTGTTAGTTCTAGGTCAATGCTCAAGATTGACTGTTGACTAAAAGCTAAAACGCATACAGTTCCTAATTATGTTGTTTCAGTGCCCGGAGAAATCGGTCTGCTTCTTCAATGGAATGGACTTCTTCTGCTGCCCCAACGAGGAGGATCCCTACGACAAGCACGTGTTTGGAGGTAAGTTTGCCTTACGAGGAACGATATGACTGCTTGTATTGAAACAAGGCATCGCATTAGCCTTGTCTAAGCTTGAATCTGTTTCTCAGAGAAAAGAACAACTGTAATAGGCTACCTTCAGGTTACGGCGGTGAAGAGATAAAGCATGGCTACAAAGTGTTCGGACCATTGAATATTCGGCGACTGATGGACGAAGTGCCACTTCGAGTTCGTCGACAAGCGAGATCTATCCGAACTCGCCGTCAGGCTTCAAGCAACATCTTCAGCTCTGCACCTGCCGCTTTCAACATCGACTCCATTACTGCGCCACTACGTTTTGACGGTGAGCTCTTGTGTTGAAGGGATGTTCTGAAAAAAATTAGGGATTGGAGACGTTTCCTGGGTGACTGCTGAACCCCCAGTTCTTATCTTGCGGTAACCTTGTCATGGTCAGCCCTAATTTGAGTGATTCACACTCTCACCACATCACAATGTTTACGGTCTTGTTCGCTGCGGATGAAGGGGCGTGTCCGGCGAGGTGAGTTTGGCGCGACGCCAAACCCGTTCTCTACCAGTTGCGGATGTTGATGCGTGTGGACAACAACAATTGGTGGAAAACGACTGATGCGAACGATATGACACAGTCTTGTCGTTTTGCTTACTTCAACAAGTGGTGGAAAACG